CCCCTCCTTCTCTCTCTCTTGATGTTGATCTTGAGTTACTATTTTCAGATTTCAGGGTAATATTTATTAGGGCAGTTATAAATAGAAGAAGACCAACTTCACCAAGTGGATATTTCATAACCTGCTGCCATTCCCACTAAGGCATTGAAACACCGAGCTATTGGTTCAACCCCAACTCTCCAATATTGTTTGATAAGGTCCATTTCCCTTTTTGTTTTTCTAAAATTTTCCCAATATATTCTTTTGACGATTAGTGAGACTAACTACTTATTACAATTTATAATGTTCAGAAAATTGCTCAAGCAGTTGCCAAGTGGTTCTTTGTTGAGAGTAGTAAATTCCAAGAGATATCTTGCCCTTATCCTTATGGAAAATTTTGCCAAAGCTAGGAACTGGGAGAGGATGTTGATATACTACGAGTATTTCTGATATTTTCTTAATGATTAATCCACTCATGTATTTATGGAAAGTATCAAGTCACTTGAGGTCGCTTAAAATTGTTATTCAAACTTTATCATGTTATCGTAAGTTGGTATATATATTTGTTTTATATTTTAATTTCTTGAACACTTGGTCTTTCTCTTTAAATTTCAGTGGTCGAGCTAGCTATTAGTGGGGAGTAAAAGATTTCTAAACTTTGCAAAATTGACATGAACAAATTGAGGCAGAGCAAGAAAAACAAAGCTGGCACAAATTGACATTCCCTCCTTCCATATTCATGACCACAACTTTAGGAACAGAAGAGGGGAAAAAAGGACAAAAACCAAAGCCAAGAATCCGGTCGGAACTCCTTGCAAAACCATTTTATCCAATATAAATCGCCATGCGTGCGCGCACATACATACATACTACAAATATTATACGTATAAACTCAAATTAAACGGACTCTTGGTGCTTGTATACGGGTAAAACAGGGCTAATGAGCACCCTGATTTTCCGGTTGGGCAAACGCAGCAAAGACATGACTACGTGGGGTTGGAGTCGAAGCGTGAAACTTCTCGTACTAAGGCCCGAACGGAGTGCTCGTCACCGGCCCGACAAGACAACACCCCCCGAACCCAGTACGAGCCCCATGACCCCGGAAAGCACTACAAACGTTTGCACACGCCTAATAGAGGGTCGTGATATTCGCACCCAACCGGATATCACGGCGTGGATCTCGTCCGATGTCGGTAGCGTATAAGTAATTGATGTACAAAGAGGATTTTTACCTTTGTTTTTTATAATGGTACTAAGGGTAAAACTCCCTTACTATATAAAGGAAAAGTTTCTGATTCAATATACACATTGTAACACACATATCAAGGCAATACAAACTCATTTCTCTGCTTTCTAGCTATTGAATATTCCATATTTTAATCATAGCTCTTCTTATATATCTGGCTTCGAACCACGAATCCGATCAAGGGAAGAACTATCGCTAAGCTTAAATCCGAGCCCCGGCTCAACGTCACAATTGATTTGGTTATTTATTTTTTATCATTAATTCGTGTATTTAACATCCTTAATTACTTGTATTGAATCGATCCAAATATCCTTAAAATCGCGTATAAATTTAATTGTTATCCGTTTTAAGGGTACACAGTTTGGCGCCCACCATGGGGCTAAGAATAATAGTGATGGTTTGACACAAATTTCCATAACATACTCTATTTTACGCTTGTTCTTTAAGTTTTTTATTTCAGGACGGCTTAAAAATATCAAACTCTCAGTCTGTTCACTTGAACGTTGATGCTGAGTCTGGCCATCATGGCGAAAACATCAATATGGTGCCTAGCATTGAGGTACCCCCTGCTGATCCCAATGGAGTCCCAGTTGCAGACCCAGTCGATGCTAACTCGCATGTGTCCATCAACGTCAACTTGCCTACTGACCCCGAGAACAGCATTCGCAGAGGAGCCAGACCACTGCTCAAGGAGCGCCCGAAGGCGAAGGTGACAGGGTCAGTCTATGAGCGATCTTCGAAATGTTACATGCCCAACAGGCGGCGATAGCACAATTACAAAATCAAAGATGCGCCCCCAGTAGAGTTGAGCCTGAACCACCCTGGGAAAACACCCGGAGAAATGAGAAGATCACCGAAAGGCCGGCTGGAACGGAGACCGGTGTCAGTCCCGAAATAATGAAGATGCTTGAAGCATTAACAAAACAGGTGGAATCAAGTGAAAAGAAAATTGAGGATAACAAAGAGAAGGTAGAGACATATAATTCCCGGGACGATCAAATCCGAGGAGCGCCTCCAATGCTGAAAGGCCTGAACTCCAAGAAATTTGTCCAAAAGCCTTTTCCTCCGAGCGCGGCGCCAAAGCCAATTTTGAAGAGGCTTCGTATGCCCGATATTCCAAAATATAACAGAACCACGGATCCAAATGAGTATGTGACCTCCTACACATGTACCATCAAAAGTAACGACTTAGAAGACGACGAAATCAAGTATGTGTTATTAAAGAAGTTCGGGGAAAATTTGTCAAAAGGAGCAATGATATGGTACCACAACTTGTCCCCGAATTCCATTAACTCGTTCGCTATGCTCGCGGATGCTTTTGTAAAGGCTCATGCTGGGGCCATTAAGGTCGAGACCAGAAAATTGGATCTTTTCAATGTTAAGCAAAGGGACAACGAGATGCTCAGGGAGTTTGTATCAAGATTTCAAATGGAACGGATGGACTTACCTCCGGTTGCGGACGATGGCCGTTCAAGCATTCACTCAAGGACTTAACCCTCGAAGCTTTTTGGCCTCGCAGAAGCTGAAACAAAACTTGGTACAGTACCCGATGGTAACTTGGGCCGACTCCACAATAGGTATCAGTCAAAAATCAGAGACAAGGACGACCAACTCGGAGCCCCTTCTGGGTCCGTTTATCCCATCAGAACCGATGACAAGCCTAAGAGAGTCATCGATCATGAATTAAGGTTGGTTCGAGATCGATACCAACCATACGGTGCAGATCGAAGGGGAAACGGTCCCGAGTTCAACTCTACAAGGAATGAAAGGAGAAGCGATTGAGGTCCCAATAGGCGAGGCCTGATGAGCAAAAATGGTTTCAACAGGCCACTCGGGGGAAGGGAAGCTCCGAGATTGTTAGAGTATAACTTCAACGTTGATGAAGCCTACATCGCATCAGCTATTGGGTGCATCAAGGAGGCCAAGTGGCCTCGACCATTGCAGTCTGATCCTACCCAGAGAGATCCTAACCTGATGTGTAAGTATCATGGCAATCATGGCCACAGGACCGAGGACTGGCGACAATTGAGAGAAAAAGTTGCCCGGTTATTTAATAACGGACACCTGTGAGAATTTGTGAGTGATCGAGCCAAAAACCACTTCAGAAACAGGGACGCCAACAAGCAGTCTGAACAAAAGAACCCCAACACGTCATAAACATGATCATTGGAGGGGTCGATGTCCCTCAAGGGCCGATGATAAAATGCACCAAAGTGTCGATCACAAGGGAGAAACGCACCCGAGATTATATCCCGGAAGGAACCATTTCGTTTGGTGATAAAGATGTAGAGGGCATCGTTCAACCTCATAATCATGCACTGGTAATTTCCGTACTTATCAATAAATCTCGAGTTAAATGTGTGTTGATTGATCCACGTAGCTTGGACAACATCATCAGATCGAGGATCGTATAGCAGTTAGGGTTACAAGATCAAATAGTGCCAGCAGTCCGGGTGTTGAACGAGTTTGACATGGCATATGAAACCACTAAAGGGGAGATAACCCTACCCGTGAACACCGCTGGGAACATCCAGAAAACAAAGTTCTATGTGATCAAAGGGAACATGAGATATAACGCTATATTCGGAAGACCATGGATTCACAATATGAGGGAAGTACCTTCGACCTTACACCAAGCGTTAAAATTCCCTACTCTGGGGGGGAATCAAGACGGTATACGGAGCACAGCCAGCTGCAAAGGAGATATTTGCAGTCGATGAAGTACTCCTGATGCCCGCCGTCCCGACATTAAGGAACACAAAGCTGACCAGAAAGGCTGAAGTCAAATAGCAACCACCGATGCCGGTCCCGGACGGACCAGAGGATCGAGGAGATAACGAGGATGATGATTACGAAATTCTGAGATCCTTCATAGCTCCTGATGATACCGACGCCACCAAATCAACGGTCGAAGAGCTTGAGCAAGTCATATTGACCGAACACCTACCGGATCAAAAAGTATACCTGGGCACAGGGTTAACCCCCGAGCTCAGGAAAGAACTCATTAATTTTCTTAAAACTAACTTATCTTGTTTCGTCTGGTCCCATCTTGATATGACGGGATCCCACCGGAGATAACCACTCATAAGTTGAGTTTGGACCCAAAGTTCCATTCGGTTAAGCAAAAGAGGAGGCCTCAGTCCAAGGTCAAGCATGCATTCATCAAGGATGAGGTATCTAAACTCCTTAAAATACGGTCCATTTGGGAAGTTAAGTAACCGGACTGGCTAGCTAACGTAGTGGTAGTACCTAAAAAAGGAAATAAGCTACGAATGTGCGTAGATTACAAAGACTTGAACAAGGTATGCCCTAGGGATTCTTTTCCTTTGCCTAACATTGATCACGAAAAGACTTCCTTTATCACTAAATTCGGTAGCTACTGTTATAATGTAATGCCATTCGGATTAAAGAATGCCGGTGCCACCTATCAACGCCTAGTAAATCGGATGTTCGAAGAACGGATAGGAAATTCAATGGAAGTTTATATTGATGACATGTTAGTTAAGTCCTTGCGAGCAGAGGAACGTTTGAAACTTTTGAAGGGAACCTTTGACTATTGAAAAATACAATATGAAGTTGAACCCGGATAAGTGCGCATTCGGGGTCGGATCGGGAAAGTTCCTCAGATTCATGGTATTCAATCGAGGGATCGAGATTAATCTTGACAAGATCAAGGCCATAGAATACATCATCGTGGTGGACAATGTCAAGGCCATTTAGAAGCTGACCAGGCGTATAGCCGCCCTGGACCGATTCATATCGAGGTCCTTGGATAAAAGCCATCAGTTTTTCCCACTGTTGAAAAAGAAGAATAACTTTTCCTGGACCCCAGAATGCCAACAAGCTTTGAAAGAACTCAGACGATACCTTTCGAGTCCGCCCCTGCTCCACACTTCGAAGGCAGATGTGCAATTGTACCTTTACTTGGCAGTGTCTGAGGTGGCGGTAAGTGGAGTTTTAGTCCGTGAAGAGGAAGGTACGCAATTTCCTATTTACTATGTCAGTAGAACTCTAGGCGAGGCCGAAATAAGGTATCCTCATCTTGAAACATTGGCGCTCGCTTTGCTAAGTGCCTCCAGGAAGCTAAAACCGTACTTTCAATGTCACCTCGTAACCTCTTACCCACTAAGGAACATCATGAACAAGCCCGAGCTCTCGGGTCGATTGGCCAAATAGGCCATCAAAATCAGCGAGTACGATATCGAGTATCGACCCCGAACTACCATAAAATCTCAATTTTTAGCCGACTTCGTGGCCGACTTTACGCCGGCCTTAGTGCCCGAAGTTGAAAGAGAATTTTTGTTAGCCTCGG